AGGAATGCTGATAAGAATCTGCAGGACTGAACCTTGTAAATGTAATTTTTGCAGGTTATTTAGAGAGAACAAACCAAGCAGACGATCAGATTTAGACATCTGTTTTAAAGGCAACTCTGCAAATTGTCTGGAGACCAAAATAGATTATTAGCAGGAAATGGAGTTTTCTTAATATTGAATCCGATCCTGCCCTACTGAAAATCAATGGAATTTTGTCCCAGACTTTCATGGGAGAGGGACTTAACACATTTACGCTCCCAAAGATCTGGCACCATATAAAAAAGCAGAGCTACAGCAACTGTCGAGGAGAAAGCTCAATTTGGATCAACCTTAGATTTCAATATAAAAGCATTCATGCTGGACAAAGAAAGAGAAATTTGGGAAGATATAAATGACAGATTCTAGTGGTATTGCTGGATGCACCAGTGGAAACAGTCAGCTTTCTGCCTGATCCATGAAGTAGAGAAACTAGGGGAAAGCAAAGAAAAAGATTTGGGTCCACAAGAGCGTGGTTCTGTGAAGAAATGTTCACCCGGAAAGAGCTGGTGCCTCTGTTAGCGATGCTATTTTCATTTTAGTGTCTTCAAACAAAAATATCAGAATATTTTACCAACGTCAATTAAGACTCGGAATGCTCCTGGGACACACATCCTTATTACACCCATTTTTATAGACTACAATGACACAGAGTTTGACTCATTAAAGGCCAGAAAATGAGTCAGCAAAGAAAAAGAACCCAAAAGCCCCAATCATCCATCGTCTGTGATAACCACTGAATAACCTCTCTCTCCTCCGTCATTAGTCAGTCTTGGGAATAAAGTCACTTATCTGAAACATAAAACTATTCCATACTTGATGTTTGCCTTTTTTGTATGTTTGTTTTTCACTATGATTGCCTCCTAACATTTCCCAGCCTTGCACACAGACTGATGCACTTAATTTTGACAGACACAAAATCCCTCTTAAATCTGCTGCAGTGTTTATACTGGGATGTATAAAAATGACTTTGTGAAACAGAGTCTCGAAATAGAAAATGAGATTAAAAATATTTTGCACATGAAAACTTCTCTAGGCTGTGAGAGAAAGAGAAGAATATTACAAACCTTATTCTATTTCTCCTGATCGCCTAAAGGGGCCCCTACAGCAGAACTATTATCTTTAATCTTATGTTCTCTTTTCAGCATGTATTTTATTTTCTTCTCCCTGCTAACTATACTCTGGCCTCTTAATAGCTCTTGAGTTCACCTCCTGAAAAGATATTCCAGGATAAGACTTCTCTGTATTAGATTTGCAAAGGTTTAGAAGCAGCTTGGGTTCTCTCTGTGCTAACAAACACTTAGTGGTAAATGCCTTCTCCAAGAGAGTATTGCAGCAGTGATTTGGTCAGTGTATGAGCCAGTTTGCTTAACAAGCATGAACCTCCCTGGCCTGCCAGTATTATCGCAAAATAGAATCATTTTCCTAAATGGTTTCATTAAAGGGACATTGCAAGGCTGAAGAGGAGATATTGAATGAAAATATGGACAGAGTGATTTTTTTAGTCATGCCAAATTGGTCTGTGGCATCAGTCACGAAGGTTTCACTGAAAAAAATGCCTCAATCGCTTTATTCGGCGATGAACGCATTTGCAATGATTCTGAAGGATTCGCTGCCACAGCCACTGTGGCTATACAGCACTCATCAGCCATGATCGAGCCAATTTATCAGAAGAACCCAGGATGAGTTATTGTCTGACAATGCCAAGACTTACATTCGCCGCGGAAAATCATAATCATCCATTTCTTCAAACAATTCCGGTTGAATTGCCTCCCCAACTTATTTATCCCATACAAAGCCATGCTGGGAATATCAAGAAGGAAGAGCAAGCCGCACAGAGGAACCTCAGCCTCTCCTCGAAGGGGCATCGCACCAAGCAGCTTGGAAGGCAACAACAAATTCTGCATTTTAACGAAAACCAGGAAGACGACGGCCAGGAGAGCATCGTGTGAGACAGCTGTCGCAATTTTCAATATACAATGATGCTGGAGCACAAACTGAGCCTCCCATCCTTTGGATTTTTCAGCTTTCTCTGGAAGATGGGAGGATAGGGTCTCCTGAGGGAACTCCACCTACGCAATGATTTAACATGGGCCATGGGCACTAGGATTTTTTCTTGCTTCTTTTTCTGTCTGAAGCCCACATTTGAATTTCTGGAAGACTGAAACATAAATCCCTAACGTCTTCAGGCTAGTAATAGTGTAGTTGAGTGATACTTCGTGGCCTGTAACAAAAAATTGATGATATGTCCTTACTTTCCAATGAATCTATATGTACATTTCCACACAGGACAGTTCTTTAGTCTGGTACAATATGCTTCTTCCTCAGACCTGCCCAGTAAAATAAGTACTATTACAATGTCTTCTCCATCTAAAGCACAATACAGTACTAATATAGAATCATAGAATCATAGAATGTTTAGGGTTGGAAGGGACCACTAGTGGTCATCTAGTCCAACCCCCCTGCAGTGAGCAGGGACACTGCTAACTAGATCAGGTTGCTCAGAGCCCCATCCAGCCTGGCCTTGAATGTTCCCAGGGATGGGGCCTCCACCACCTCTCTGGGCAACCCCTTCCAGTGTTTTACCACCCTCATTGTAAAAAATTTCTTCCTTACCTCTAGCCTGAACCTACCCTGTTCTAGTTTAAAACCATTTCCCCTTGTCCTAACACAGCTGGCCCTACTAAAAAGACGTTCCCCATCTTTCCTATAGGCCCCCTTTAGGTACTGGAAGGCCGCAATCAGGTCTCCCCGTAGCCTCCTTTTCTCCAGACTGAACAAGCCCAACTCTCTCAGCCTGTCCTCATAGGAGAGGTGCTCCAGCCCTCGGATCATTTTTGTAGCCCTCCTCTGGACCCGTTCCAACAGTTCCATGTCCTTCTTGTGCTGAGGGCTCCAGAGCTGGACGCAGTACTCCAGGTGAGGTCTCACCAGAGCTGAGTAGAGGGGCAGAATCACCTCCCTCGACCTGCTAGCCACACTCCTCCTGATGCAGCCCAGAGTACGGTTGGCCTTCTGGGCTGCCAGCGCACATTGCCGGCTCATGTCTAGCTTTTCATCCATCAGTACCCCCAGGTCCCTCTCGGCAGGGCTGCTCTCGATCCTTTCTTCCCCCAGCCTGTATTGATACTGGGGGTTACCCCAACCCAGGTGCAGGACCTTGCACTTGGCCTTGTTCAACCTCATGAGGTTCACACAGGCCCACCTCTCCAGCCTGTCCAGGTCTCTTTGGATGACATCCTGTCCTTCTGGTGTGTCAACCGCACCACTCAGCTTGGTATCATCCGCAAACTTGCTGAGAGTGCACTCGATCTCGCTGTCTAAGTCATTGATGAAGATGTTAAAGAGCACCGGTCCCAGTACGGACCCCTGAGGGACACCACTCGTTACCGGTCTCCATCCAGACATCGAGCCATTGACCACTACCCTCTGGATGCGACCATCCAGCCAGTTCCTTATCCACCGAACAGTCCATCCATCAAATCCATAGCTCTCCAATTTAGAGAGAAGGATGTTGTGGGGGACCGTGTCAAAGGCCTTGCAGAAGTCCAGATAGATGACATCCATTGGTTTCCCTCTGTCTACCGTTGACGTCACACCATCATAGAAAGCCACTAGGTTTGTCAGGCAGGACTTGCCCTTGGCGAAGCCATGCTGGCTATCTCAAATTATATCCCTGGCCTCCATGTGCCTTAGCATAGCTTCTAGGAGGATCTGTTCCATGATCTTCCCAGGCACAGAGGTGAGGCTGACAATATAATCATTCCCATCAATAGGATTCATCTCCTCAAACTGCAGCCATGTAAAAGCAAGATCCTCTCTTCATGGAGATAAATATGCTTCCAAAGGTATCCCTGTTCTGCCTCTCTCAGGCAGTTCTTGTAGGATGGGAAGAATTGCCCTTCGACTACTCATCTCTCTCCACTGGTGGTGGACAGAGCCTGGACTTTCAGGCAATTCAAATTAAGGGAGATAAATATCACTTACAGTAGAGAAGAGAGATAATTATGCACAAACTCCTACAGTCACAATTTTACAGCAATTCAGTGGGATGCCTTTTTATTGTTATCAATATTTTGAAGGCACATTTCTAATGCCAAATCCATTTCCAGATAGCACGGGCATAAAAACAGTTGAGAAACATGTAGGTGTTGCAAGTGTAGGTGGGGTTTCTGTAATTCATCTTGTTGCACATCCACTGTAAAGATAAATATCAATGCATGGCAATACTACTGGAAGTTGTTTATCTTGCTGCTGATTTATGGCTTATTGGTCAATAAGAGAAATCAATGACATGAAGTTAGACTGCTGTATAAGTCTAAGCAATGTAAGCAATGCAAAAATATAATGAGGACAAGCAGATATAAACTTTCAATGGCCTAGAGAAAAGGAATAGCTTAGCAAATGTGTGATGTTACACAAACTTCTTTAAAAAAACGAAAAAAGAAAGAAACAAAGAAAGAAGGAAAGAAAAGAAAAAAGGCTGCCTTATTTCCCTGAATTCTCAGCCACCTTTCCTTCCAGCTTCCTCTACATTACAGATCCAACATGCAGTTCTGTCAAGCCAGCCCGTGCGGCTGTAAACTACTGTCCTCCAAGCTGGGGCCTGAAACAAAATTGAGAGACCGATAAATCATGATACAAAAGGGAATCTTAAAGACCACATAGGGGGCTCTATTTTCCTTCCTCTTTTGATTTCATAGTGCCTTTTTTTTCCCCCCCCATATGTGATGCTTCTTGCAAAGGCATTTGGCAGATCAAAAAAGCTCATACACAGAGACAATTAATGCTCATCATCCTTAGCGTGACTTGTACTAACCAATTGAATTCAAAATAATTTTCTTCATGAAATGGGATTGGATCAAACCCTGAGATTATGAAGTGACTGAACTTTCAAGAAGTTCACCCATAGTGAATTTTCCTGATATTAAGAGTTTCAGGATATGACCTCAAGTATCTACTGATGGCATCTATTCATTCCATACTTTGACTGAACCCGCCAACTACTGTGGTAAGGATGGCTTTTCTGTAGGCTTGATTCTGTCCGTACTTGCAATAATAATATATTTGTGCAACTTCTTTACATCTGTGCAGTTAATGAATTAACAGAGCTGAATCGGGCCAGTCATTCACTGTGTCTGCTTATCTGGAGACCAAATTTGATAATAGACTGTGCTCTTAGCCACAGGATGAGTGTTTTGAGGTGGATATATTACGGGGGAAAAAAAAACCAAACAAGCTGACGAGTGACTACAGCGTAGTTGGGCTGGAAGAAGGCTCGATCCTCGGAGAGGATTTAACTAAGCTAGGCGGGAAGCTTTACCTACACACAGGTCATATTCATAACGTATAGAAAAATAATACCTTGTGGAATCAAAAACAAATTGGTATATCCAACCCAGCATTTCACTCCTGTTCTTAACAGATCATGATCAATGCTAAAAATACATCAGGAAAAAAGGCACCCTTGGTTGCCAAAGATTTCTCATTCTCTCACGTCCGTAGAAAATCTTTCAGTGATGTCTCTTTGCTGTGATGACAACCATATCTACAGGGGATTTAAATCTCCACGTTTTTCAAGACAACAATCTTAACCAAGACCAAATTTCTTACCGCCATGCCAATGGCCAACCATTGCCGCCATGGCAAAAACCAAATTTATCTCTGGACAAATATTAAAAATGTTCTGCTATGACTTTTTTTTCTGTCTGTCCAAATGAGTTGTTGAGAGGCTGGTCAGAGCAGACGGTACCATGCTCCTTACTCCCCAGTCCCGTGCTGCCAAATTTTAGATGCAATTACTCCAGTCTGCACCCTGGAAGTGAGAGTTGGACAGAAAAATCTCAGTAAAAACAAACTCACAAGTGGGTGATAGTTGCAGAAAAACAATAATTCAACAAACAAACACATGGTTCTGAGGCAATTTCACACATTGCTTTCCAGGATCCAGGGTTCTCTATACCATGTTTTATGCAACTGCAGCTGAATGCCTTTTGTTCAGTGTGAACTGCCCAATTTAGTTAAAATGAGTTAGTTCCTCTCATATATCAATACCTGCCAATGTTTTAGCATTAAAAGAAATGAGGATATTCAGGCTATTTTTTTTTTCCCCCAGATGGCATCTGGTTGGCTATTGTGAAAATACCAGGGCAGTTGTTCACACCCATTTTGCATTTAATCTAAATTAGCCTTTTAGATTTAAAAATACCCTAGATTTCCCCCATCTACCATACTATTTCTGAGCTGATGGAAATTTCAATCAGAACACTGTTAACTTCCAACAAATTAAATATTGGGAGAGTATATTAAGCAGAACACAAAAACTAAATAGATTTTAGAAGAGTTGTAAAAGGCAAGAAGCAAATGAATAAAAGATGGAAGAAAAAATAAGATTGATATGTAAGACTAAAATCTGATTTAAATCCAGCACTCATTGGAAAAGAGCGCAAGATCCAGACCTTGCAGGGTAACAAAAAAAAAGGTAATGCTTAACATTAAAATCATAGTTTCCATTTCAACTTGTGTGGGCACAAGTAAGTTTAAAAAATGTTATGCCTTCACAGTGGTAAATTAGTGCACTTTGCCCACACATATCTTTTTTTAAAAAAGACAATGTGATCCAGAACACAATTTCCCTTTTGCAATGCCGAGTCACTGAGCCAGGTGTAAAGCTTTAAGGCTCTGGATTCTCAGCCCTGTGTTTAGACCCCAGAATTCAATTACATCACTTTTTTTTTCATTTCCTTAAACCCAACTTTAAAAATATCTACTGCCTCAGGGTGCCCTGTTTCATATTGTCACAGATAGAAAAATTTTGTGGGTTATCTGCTTTTAAATCCTTGCTCTGAGCTCAAAGGCTGGCTGAGGC